ATGATAACATATCTCCCTACTAAATAGATTGTATCAATATCTGAATGTAAAAGCTCACAACTTAAATTAACATGCATGCAGTTTCGAATTCAGTGTTTAAAACGTTCATCCTCTGCGGGACAATTTTATGCAGCATAGTTTAGCTTGAATGTATACATATGAAGGCAAATCTTGATGATATTTATGTATGACATAACAGAGACCATGAAAAAAGTTCAGACGACCGGAAAGACATGACAGGCAGAGCAGCAATAGACGATTGCACCAACAGCAGCATCCAGCAGCAACCATTTTCTCCTCACGTCCCCTCAGTGTAGGCAGGTGCCAACCAACAAGAATAGGAACATCTTGTCTGTATCACTATCTAAATGAACCCAGAGATTGGAGAATAAAACACAGCTGAGCTGAGGGGCAGCAAGGAGATGTGCCATCAAAATCCCCCAGAACTTTTTAAGGCCAACTATGCCACCATAAATAATGTACGAGATGGGAATAGTAATTGTCCCAGAAACCGAAAAAGAAAACCAATACATACAGCTATAATAAATCCGTGCTACTAGATTAAGTCTGAAAGTTCAAACTCTCTCCCTTTCCCTCTTTCAGATTTTCTTCTGTTTTCTAAGACTGTTTTTTTACCTTGTTTCTTTCTCAAAGTTGTTTCCTAATTTGCACACCAGATTGTGCAATGGCAAGACCATCTGCCAGAGAAGGCAAGATAACTGCATTTGTTGTCAAAATCATTTGTTGTTCCATTTTCCATGAATATTTGATGGAACAATGCACATTGATCTAACTTGAAATTCTCACTGGACCACCTTGAGCACTGACAGCCATACCCTCACTGCTGGATAGTAGCTGGTCATTCAAGTCTCCTGATGATGACTCAGCATGATTCCTTGAACCACTCCAGTTATTAACATTCTGATCCAGTGAAATGTTTTGGATGCCAGCAGCCAGCACATCCTGGCTAGAGTTCTCACCAAACCGAGGGCTTGGAACATTTGGAATCTGAACAGATTGAGGCATTATCCATTTCTTCCAATCATCCCGCTTCCTTATCTTGTCACCCTAAAGAATGTGAGGAAAGAAAATCAACACCAAGGAAGCTAAAAGTTCAATGTTGTACCAAAATTTTGTGTCTACAACATGTAAAAAATGCCAAAGGAAAAGGAAAGAGAAGGCCAGGTAGGAAGTAGTATGGAAGAAACCAAATGCCAAAGGAGTTCATAAGCAATAGAGAAAAAAAAAATTTTCAGAACTCAACCAAAGCATGTTAAATGGTTCTAGATTTTATTCAAGAAGATACCTGCACTTCCACAACCTTTGAACTTCGCATAGCATCCAATATAATTGGAATTTTATCCGTCAAACCCGAAACCTGAAAAAGAAGCCACAATAGTTGTTGCCCAGATAGATTTAAAAAATTGATCTGATGGTAGTAGAATATCACAGTATACATATTACAAAGAAACATACAGGACAAAGACGTACATACCAGACTTGGAAGAAGACAGAAACAGAACAGCTAAAATTCAGAGCAGGCAATAACTTCACACATCCACCCCCAGAACTATAATATGGAACTAACAGAATCACCTCTAACCAATTATCATAGAAAAAGAAATTATGTAGAAACAATAACAACAATAGGGGAAAAAAAGTATCCTAATTTTCTTCTAAATCTTAAGCAACAGCTTTAATTTTTCAGCAAAAAAATGCTAAAACCTCCTAAAAACTAGGAAAATGATTTGACATATGTGTTATGGTACTTTGTTTCCAAAAGCACACCTTCTGTCATTGGTTCAAGTGTTCTACAACATTATAGTAGTCAAATTGGAAGAGACTAACTTCAACAAAAGGCAGAGCAAAAAATAGAATTGATAATAGTTGTAGGCATACTCAAAACAATGTGCAGAATTTGTATGTTAGCTGACACAACTAATTATGTAATCCTGCAGAGAAGAGACATAGCCAATTAAAGAATTAACAAATGGAAACCTAGAAAAGAAACAATTGAAATGAATTCCATCAAATCTCAACAAATTTTCAGTTAGCAGATCCTCAATCCTCAGTAAATTATTTTTGAAACCAGATCAAACAGTTGTGAAGAAGTTGAATTGATCTAAATTTTCTCAGCATGCTTTTCTTACCAAGCTGCTTTTCATGCAATTTTTAACCCTTTTCACCTAGTCATACAGAGTTCAATAAAAGAAAAATAAAATGACAGCTACTGATTATGTTCACCATACCAAGAGAAAACAAGTTAAGCCACTCATGTTTCAAAAGAAAGACTTCCTTTTTGACTTTTGAGAGAAGAAAATACAGCAGAACAAAATGCAACTTAGCTCCAAAAGCTATGGAATGCTAACAAACTTATAAATAAAAATCTATAAATGTATGATTAATGACAATCTCCAAATTTCATGTGATAACACAGAGATGGAAATCGACAACTATCATTTTCAGAAGCAAGAAACCACATATCCTTAACTCACATGGAGCAAAAATGAACAAGATATATTAAAATTTACTCTCATGGTATAGTCTCATAACCAAAAAGAGGAAACCTTGACATCAAATATCACAATTAAAGTTTTTATGTTCCAGAGCATTCATTAGGTCAAAAAAAAATGGACAAGAGAAAACAGGAACCTAAGCACAAGGCATTCACAAAAGTCACCCTTAGCCAACCTTATGGTTGTCCACAAATTGTTCAGATATATGCAACAACAGAATACCAGAAAAGATGTTATGTTGATCGAAAAAGAAGCCACACCCCAAGACCAGATAGGTTACCCATTTAAAAATTAAAAAGAGTAAACAAACATGGCAATCCAACAAGAAGGCTTAATTAAGTGGATCAAAGAAGATGTAAATCTCATCCAGAAAAGACAACAACACCAACGTTTCTCACCAATGTCAATTAAGCAACAATTTCATCCATTATAAGCCATTTTTGCAGACAACCCCAGCAAATTCATGTATCATAAACAGAACATTTGAGGTATACAAGCAGGTTACGAAATCAAGCCACATGACTGTAGGGTTGATCCTATATAACCACATCTTTTATTTAATTAACTAGATTTGCTAGCAAAAGAAAAATGAAAACTTTTATGATCCACATTCTAATTGCACCCTTCTGTTGAAGGCCAAACAAACCTAATACAGTCAAAATATATTGAAAATTTGCACTTACTTCAAATAAAATATTTTTTTAAGAGCCAACCAAAAAGAGATGTACTCCATTAACCCTATACCCTTTTTACAATAAATAATGGATCGCAGCAGCCTTGATTCTAAGATAATTGATAATTCAGAACAGTAAAACTCATCATAATAATAAGGTATGTGCACAGAAGATCTATGTGAATGGGAACAGCTTAAATGGCCCCAAAAAACTTACCTTTTTAAAGCCTGCTATTAATTTAATATCAACCCAACCATGAGCATCCATCTTTTGCCGCAAGAATGTATCTTTAATCAAATTTTCGTTACTGCAATAAAAAAATGAGGTTAAATTGCAGTTAACATCTCAAGTGACTTAAAATACCACGACAGGTGTACCGAACAAGTACTTTTACCAACGTAAAAAGAGCAAATATTGGATGCGTTACCTGAAGTAATAATCTATCTGATTCACTATCCTATCATGCAACTGAAGGTCCGGTGGAGGGAAAAAGACTGGTGGAATTGGTGTAATAAAAGGCACGCTTAGTGGATCTGGATGAGTTGGAGCCGGAACATAATAGACAGATTGAAATTCTGAAAAGAGGTAGAGAAATTACAGCAGAGTCAAAAGTCAAAACACAAATACAAGTTAAGAGAAAATTAAAAATTCAGCTTACCAGGATAAGCCATGGGGTTGCCAAAAGGCCGTGATGGGGGAGGTGGCATATATGGTGCAGGATTAGGCGGAGGTGGCGGTCCATGCCTAGGAAACCTTGGAACACCTCTTTGAGACGACTGCATAGGAGCATCTCTACCATTAAAATTTCGATGATGATTCCAATCTTGATTCCCATGGTCCTGATTGCGCCTGCCCCCATAATTCTGAGTATGAGAACCATCTCCACGTGGATGGGGACCTCCATTGCGGATTCTGAATGAATTGCGATGCTGGGGGTGATCATTACCACTATGAGATTGTGATATAAACCCACCCCGTGCATGGTCCCTAGAAGAAGGGCTGTTCAAAGATGCTTCAACAGCTGATCCTGCTGGTGGTGGTTGGGAAACGCCACTATTATTGCGCTTCATTGACCTCTGACGTGCTGGTGCTGTATGGTTTGGAGTTGAATTAGAGTTTGCATTGTTGCTAACATGCTTCTGTGAAGAAACAGATGCATTTCCAGTCCCCTACAGCAAACAAAATAGAGTAAACCCATTAAAAAATTTACAAGATAATAATCCCAGGAAAAAAATGCATTGATAAGTATAGACTTGATATGATCCGTTTTCATTAGGTGCAAGAAAAGATCAAGCAAACTTGCACCGCCTTATATCATATCATATTCATGTGCAATGTTCATGCATCAACAGCCAATAGAATCAACCATTCAATTTATGGTTCAACCCGTGAACATTGTATGTGCAAAATTTTCTAAGTTAGATTAAAAATATCAGTGGCATTGCTATCATAATAATTTCAACCATGGCACAAAAGCTCAAGTTTTGATTTTTAATATACATCTGGATAAACAACATTGGCATAACCTATGTCCATGACTATAGCTACCAAGTCCAACAATTAATTTAGTGAAATATGAAATCTGCAAAAACTGGAGTTGCATGGACTCAGCCTTCTTCAGCCTCAATGCCTACGTACACTAATGATTTCAGCTCTATCTCTTAAGTCCAATTTAAACCAGAAAGTCGAATTAAAATTCCTTGCATTTTTCAAAGTATACTGCTTTCTTTTTTCTACAATTCCACCTAGCCAAGCAGCTCACAGAGCAATAAATACTACACTCATAATATATGTTATTTTTAAATACTCGATATTCAATTAAAAGATTGTGAAATTTGGGACACTCCACCTGTGAAACAACAGGGGACGATAAGGATGATCCATCGGACAAAACTTTGGATGAATCTGGAGACGATTTGGAAGAAACCCTAGCGGACTCGGACAACGCCGGCCATTGAGTTCCCATGACTGACCCAACCTCAGCAGCTCCATTGGAAGGCCTACCCCACGCCGGCTTCTTACCGGCATTGTCGTTGGTCCCGCTTCCATTCTCCACACTCTCCTCCTCCACCGGCGACGCCGATGCAGCCTGTTCAATCACAGCCGTTGATGGCGTGGATGGCGATGACGATGGCGAGGTAGGTGCCACCGCGATCAACTCCGGCCCTTCCCTGTCGATTTTCGTCCAAGGCGAAGCAATAGGTTTGGTGTGATTACTCACCACTGTTCCAGTCGAGGAATTGCTGTTAGCATTATTGTTATTCGCAGCCATATCAGTTTAAAAAAAAAAACAAAATTAGGGTTTGCAGACGACGGCGAGATGATCAGGGATAGAAGACAAACAAACAAAAATTATTCGATTAAAAAAAAAATCGTTAGGGCGAGATTCTTTCAGCCAAAGAGAAGCTGAATTAGGGTTTTGCAATGCAAAAATTAGGGTTCCGAAAAGAAAAATAAAGGAAGATCTGATCGGCGGCGAGGAGAGATGAAGGTGGAGAGAAGAGAGAACCGGTGTCTCTATATTTCTCTTTCACCCTCTGTTTTTTGTTTTTCTTTAATATTTTTTTTCGCTTTTATTTTTCTACGTCTTTGTCAAAAAAAATTTTTTCTTTCTTCTTTTGTTTGCTTGCTTAGCTAATCGGAATTCTGGGATGAGCGGGTTTGTCCCTTGTGAATTTACCATAATACTCTCAGGTCAATGGGTATTTCGGTCAATCCAGTGGTGTTTTAGGGTTTACGGCTCTCCACATTCTAGGCTAAATATAATAATGAAGATGCTATGCTTAGATTCATTGTTTATCTGTGATATTCTTTATATAACTTAATGTGTAATTAAATACTTTTATTTAAAAAATTATTTATAATATTATATTTATTTATTTAATATTATTTTATGATTATAAAATTGCAATATTATGTAACATTATAATCATAATATTGCTAATAAAATAATTAGAAGTATGATAGAAAGGTGAAAATCATCTTACTATTTATCAAAGTCTTTTAAGAAATTATTTAAATATTATTTAATAATTTTTTATATATTAATTCATTAATTATATTTAATTTCTTTTATTATTTTCGACGTTTCAATGAAAATTATATAAAAATAATTTTTTATATTATTTTTTAAATAATTTTTTATATTATTTAAATAATTAATTTATTTTTATTTAAAATTTATGATATTAAATACATTTACTTATTTAATAACACATAAAATTTTTATAAGAATTTATATTATAAAGTTATCTCTATATTACTTTCCCATATTTTAATTGTCATGAATTAATGAGTGATTTTCCACAATATCTTTGTACATTAACTATTGATATTTTATCACTTTAGTTTAGAAGGTTTATTTTCTTTCAAAATGGTCAATAACTTCAAATATCAAACCAATGTAATCTTCCCATCACTTTTGCGTCAATTCAACTAACGGAAATAAACATCAATGCTTACTTGGTGCCATACAATCTGTTATGTAATTACAAATTGATCAAGTACAATATTGAAGAGATATGAACTTGTAATTAGATCTATGTAAATCATCCTTAATTCGTGTAACATGCAATTGTTTTGATCGGGTTTATAAGTAATCCTCAACTTTAGGAAATACCTCATTCTCTAAATTTTTTTATGTCCAAGAAAAATTGTTACGAACAGAATAACTTAGAAAAATGAAGCCAATTTAATGGGTTTCAAAAATTAGATCCAAAATTGAACCCATTTAAATCATAAGTACGAAGATAAATATTAAAAAAAAATATTTATATTTTATTGTGCAACTTAAAACATATATTATATAAATAGCACATTAAAAGAAAAAATATGGAGAGAGGCCTAGATGCTGCTACCGAAATACTTTTGAAAGGTAGGATGTCTCATTGTAGTCTAGGATTTTTTTGTCGGATAATCAACTTTTTAACTAAAGTTTCAGTGGAAAAAGAGCATTATTGAACCAAGATCATCCAATCGTCTCTGATGCTGGTATTTAGACAGAATAACTTAACAAACAATCTTTTGTCACTTTTCTTTGCTACCCTGAAGTGGAACCTACATCCCGCTGAATGGCATCTTGTAGGATTATGTTCCGCTAATCATCAACTTTTTCTTAGAAAAGGAAATTTCATGGCCTTTTCTTAGAAGGAAAACATCAATTTCGCCCACTTTTGACTTGATGAAAATAGAAGTACCCTTTTTTTTTTATTCTTACGTAGAGAGTATATACATACACCCAATACATATATATTTAAAAGAATTTTTATCTAATATGAATTGCATAAAAAAATACATTTTAAATATTAAAATTATTAATTTTATAAAAAATAAATAAAATTAATTATAATAATATAATTATACCCTTATTTTTATTTTTAACCAAGAAAATTTTACATTATTTTCAAATAAAAATTAATCATTTTATCTAATTAATAAATTTTGTTTATTAATACAATAATTTTTATGATAAATTAATATAAAAATAAAAATAAAATAATCATTTAACGTTATTAAAGGTAAAAAAACAAAATTAAAACTTATTAGATAAATACAATAATTTTTATGATAAATTAATATAAAAATAAAAATAGAATAATCATTTAACATTATTAAAGGTAAAAAAACAAAATTAAAACTTATTAGATAAATATTAATTAAAAATTATGATAAAAAATTTTAAAAAATAAATTTATTAATAAAATTAAAAAACTCTAATCTACTAGCGGTTTGATACAAAAAATTATATAACTAACATTTTTAATCTACTAACAATTTGAACCTTAATCATTATCTACTAATATTAAATCACTAAATAAAATTTTTTACTAAACACCTTTATTTGTGGTAGTTCTAAGTTGTTAAATAAAAATTTTTATCAAATACTTTA